CTCAAAGCTGTGAAAGCACAATACACTCAAGAAATACTCTGTTAGTCGGTGGACTATAAAGCAAGGAGCCGTATTTATAGGCCTGCAAAGTATAGAAGAAGGGGCCATGAAATTTTATATAAGGCTTTTATTTTATTAAAAGTCATGTAATCACGAACCAAAATACCTAGCTGTGGAGTGAAGATTTTATTTAAAAAAAGGTAGCTTGTTCAAATAACCTGATTATCTTCAGATTTGGAAACAAATGAGTGATTTGTTGCCTTCCAAGCACCGACAGGTGACAGACCCACACGAACAACACTGAAGAACTGTGTGAGCTGATGTTGGCTAAGGAGAAGGCAGGGGTATTTCCTGAGTACGGTTTTCATCAAAATGATTCAGTGGTAAATGCGTAGGACAGAAGATCATGCTTATGAAGATCAGCATCTTGATGCTCTTTGAAAGGCAATCCTGTTTATTCTTTGGAGGAAGAAGAATGAAATACCAGGTCGTTTGTGCTGGCACAGTTACTCAGGACCATGTCATGAGATGGCATTGTTCACGGAACTATTCTGAGATAGAGGAAGTGGGCACAGTCAGGTGAGGGGGTGACCTGCTGCAGCTACGCAGACATTAAGAAGCAGAAGTTGTATTTGTAACAGGTGGGGCAGCTCTAGGCAGGGAGGACTGAACTGGGTAGAGAGCCGGGGGGAGTGTCCTTTACTCATTCTAACTGTCTGTAACTCCAGGGCAGTTTTCAACTTCTTGCTTGTTTTGTATTTCTCATATCCCAATGTGAATATTTAAATGATTATCATAGCTTTTGCTGTACATCCTATGATGCAGTTTACACCTTTTAATGAAGCACATCACCTATTCTCTTGCTTAAAAAGATGGTGAGTCAAGTGTGTGTCATGCTGTAAGATAGTTTAAACATACAGGCTCTTTGTATGATGTTGAGTTTCACACATGTGAGGGTTTCAAAAGAACAACCTTCACATGGAACTCTGGAGATTCTCATTTGCAAGAGAGAAAACCTCACAAAACACCATGTAATTCAGAGAAGGACAAGTCTCCTGGACTCGTGTTAATGCTGATACCTTGAATTTCTAACTTAATTCTGAGCGAAGCAAGCCTCAGCTCAGGGCCCAGATCTGGACATCCTGGGCAAATCTATGATGTCCCCTTGTAAAAATATAACTTGTCTTGGAACAACATACTGCTTCTGTTTTGATTAATGAAGAATAATATAGAGAGAATGCTGACTCCACGTATGACAAAGTACAGTAAGCCTGTCAGTCCCTTGACAAGCGCCAGGATGCTTAGCGGGTGTGTTACTTTTGTTGATGTTGCGTTTGATTAGCCCTGTGAAGCTGTGATACTGTGCCTAGCTCGACCACCTGATGATCTACTCAAGATCTGAATGGCCGATAGCGAGGCAGGAGAAAGGACAGGCAGGGCTGGCAGGCAGAGAGCATACTGGGAGGAGAAAACTGGGTGAAGGGGGTTCGCAGAAGAAGCCAAGAAGGAGGAGGGCATCAGGCACCAGCCATCCAGCTGCACATGGAGTAAGAGTAAGATTCACAGAAGAGGAAAGGAAGAGCCCAGAGTCAAAAGGTAGACAAGATCATTTCAATTAAGAAAAGCTGGCAAGAAACAAGCTAAGCTAACGTCATGGTTATAACTAAGAATAAGCCTCCATGTGTGTTTCATTTGGGAGCTGGGTGGCGGGCTCCTCAAAAGAGTCCAAAGAACATAATCACATCATTTTATCGCTACACCTTACCACTGGGTATTAAGAGCAGCAATACCATATCATTCAGTGTACAGTCACACACAGATTTTCTTCTTCAAATATTTTGGTTACTAGTCAGATTATAGATTATAGAGACAAATTTGGCCTTACAATGTCTATTATTTTTTACGACTGAACCTCAGAGATGCAAAATAATTTATATGAAGAAACACGGATGTTTCACTCGAGTGGATGGATTTTCTTCTCTGTTGCCACATAACCAGGCTTATCCACCTGGTCTGCAGCCCCGCGTACTCTCCTCAGACCATCTCTGGGCACCAGTGAGGGCCTTGAGAGCTGATTGCTACAGGCCTCACCAACATTGGGAGAATCCCTGCTGGCGCATCATTTCCACAGTCCTTTATCTGTCCCCTCCAAGTGTTCATGCATTCTATTAGGTAATAGCTCTGCTTGGATCTCAGGCAGCCCTCCTTAACGTACTAGATAAGACTTTTTCTAGTATAACATATACACCACCACCTCTTTGCTCTTGGGTTTTCCTAAAACAGCAAACTATGCTAACTATTTTTCTTTGTAGGAGGGTCTGTATTTCCTACTTTTCCCCTCTCCCTCCTTCTCTCACTTTCTTCCTCCCTTTCTCCCTCTTTTCCTCCCCCCTCCCTCTTTCCCATGTCTCTGTTACAGTTTTGTAAGTGGTTACTCACCCAGCCCACTGATGCAAATTCCTGAGATTCTGGCTTTCGAAAGATGGATTCACCCTTATTCCGAATTTCTGTTCTTCCTATACATCACATTTTCAGATGAACAATTTTATGGAAATGAATGAAGTCTATGTGTTTGTTAATAAGGTGGCAATATGTGTCTGTCAATCCTTTGTCTCATTGGAATCAGCATTCATTTAGCATTTAGCTCACCAAGCCGTTCAATAAGGAAGAATGCAAGTCTACTCATGAGCCTACAGCAGCAGGGCTTAGAACTAGTGAGCACCACAAACACTCCCAGCCAACTGGAGGGGTTGAGAGGAGGGTCAACGTGCCAAGTGTATAAAGTGGCATTTCTCTTTGTCACAGATCACGTAAAAGTGGAGTAAGGTGGGTATTGCTGTCTAGAAACTGCCACCTGCTGACAGAGAGAGGGAAAACCATGTTGGGTGCAAACTGTCCCCAGGCCTCTTCCTGACACAAAGAGGACACATTGACACACCCTGCAAATCTTAGCTCACCAGGGCTGAGAGCCAGAACATTTTTCAAATGTTTTAAAAATTGAGCTATTTACTATTACAGGCTGATTAGTTCATTATTATTAACTATTAGCTGACTATTGGCTCTGATATTCATGAGCTAAGAGATAGTATATAAAATAAATTTGTGTGTACACACACACACACACACACACACACACACAGAGAGAGAGAGAGAGAGAGAGAGAGAGAGAGAGAGAGAGATGAAGAGGAAGCTGTCAGGTAATAAAATGGCTGTTTTGAGCACAAATAATAAAGTATCTATTTTAATATGATTTCTGAGAAGCAGTTACCCAAGGTCAGCATGTTCACTGTGGCAAGAGAAGGAAGTTGGGCTTTTAACTATCTTCATTATGAACTCAAAGGCACAATACCCTTTGTGGCGCTCACCCATAAGCAACTTGCACAATTAGTAACATTTCTTCTTTAAACACTTTTAATAGAGAGTGAGGTGGCTAGATTTATTGGAATCACCGAAAAATATTGGTCAGGCATGTGCCCAGTATATCCTTGAAGCATAACCTTTGTATCTTATAATATTTTGATTTTCCAAATGTTTTAAATGTGAGTAGTGTAATTTGAATTCAGGACATGAGAACTCTCTAGACTGCTTAAATTGGTAGGTTCTAGAACGTTTGGCTTTCTGCAGAATTACTGCATTCATGCCATCGTGTGATTGCAAGCATGGTTTTGTCATAGGAAAAGGATGTAGAGATGTCAGCAATGGTTTCACAGCACTTCCTCCTTCCCTGCCTTTGCTGTCAACCCCTCTAGAGCCTTCACTTCAGTGCTTGGGGGTCACATGGGTGAATGTTCAGAAACCAATTCACCCTGAGGACGGGAAATGGCTTTACTGTCACTGTGCATATGGGAGGGTTGAGCCAACACTGCCTACCTGCTTCCCTTCTGTCTTCCAGAAAGTTTCATAAGCAACATTTTAGAGACATTGTAGCTCCCTCGGCATCGGATTTTGAATCGATTTGCAGACACAGCAGGAAAATTCATGATAAAGATGAATGGCTCTTCAAATGGTTATACATTAGACAGCAAATGATATTAGCTAAAATCCTGGAAAAACATAAATTTTGACTGAGGGAACCAGGGTTCAGGAAGTAGGTCTTGTATAAAAATTATGCAGACTTTCAATACTGCATCGTTTAGAGCTGTCTGCAGGCTCGGACCCGAGCCAACCTCGTCTGTTTCATGTCTTCTCTGTGTGACCCTGAGTGTGCTGTAAGATGCTACTTAGTGTCACCTCCTCTCTTTCCACAAAAATCGTTATGAAAGAGTAAACAAAATAAAGACAGCTCGGCTGCTGACACCATATTCTCAATTTTTAAAATATCATCTTGGGCAAATCATAAATCCTCATTTGTTTGCATTCATGAAATAGGAATAATCTTGATGCCTGATTGATACTGTGAAAGTCAATGAGAGGAAAAAGAAAACTGAAGTTTATTGAAGACACTCACATGCAACTACACAGATGTATGATTAAGATGTATGGCAAGAAGGAGAATAAAATAGAAACATATTTAAAATGTCAGGATGTAAAAGCTACCTGGAGAGGGAGAACAAGCTTATTAAAAGTTATCCCAATTTAATGGAACTGTAAATAAATAAATGGACTGGCAATAAAGCATCGGTAATTTGCTCTGGTTACTGTCTAGTGATGGACTTGAACTGAAAGTTGCCTGTCTCTTAGTTACTTCCCAGTATTGTGCAAACTGAGGTGTGGGGGTGTAAGAGAAGATACAGAGGCAGGGTTAAGTCCACATCCCTAACCTTATTAACCTAGAGCTGTACTCTTATAACACGGCCCTTCAAAAACATTCGCACTAACAGAGCCCCATCGCTGCGGGGGCCCTATGGAATACGTGGCTGGGAGGTTCCTGAGACTGTCTTATGCTTTCACAGAGTAGTGGTGACATCACACTTTAAATGCATGTCTGCCTGAAAAAGAAGCCCACAGTCCTCTCCTTCATCCCTCTGTAGTTTCCAACCAATCCCTCTCAGGGGACTTACTTTTCTTTGCTTCCTCTAGCTTGTCCTTGGCTCTTTTCTCTGCCTGCAGGAGCTGTTGGATCCCCTGAGACTGGCTGGTCATGGTGCCTTGCTTCAAGGAAGGTGACTTCTGTGGAAACTGGGACACATGAGCCCTTTTATTCTCTAAGGGGTTACTCCAGAACTCGGCTTGTTTTGTCAACAGTGAACACCTAGCGGTTTGTTCCAAACTTGCCCGGTTGGACCAGAGAGTTGTGTGCCAAGGTGAGCCCAAGGAGAAATCCAGAAAAACAAGGTAGTCATTCCAAGAAGTTGACAATTCATTTGGTCTCTGGCTTCACCTCTGTATAAACAAGGCAACTCTAATGGGTTGTTCAGTTTACTTACAAAGGAACGGGAGAGGCATTTTTTGGTATGCTAGCCCATCATACACCCACAAATACTGAGTTGCTGCTGAATTTCCTTTCAGGCTGCAACCTTCCCCCAGCTCCTTGTGTCTGTAATAAGGCCTTTATCTGTCTCTGCTTGAGGAATTATTTGCTTGAGGAAAACTGATTTTCCTTCTTTGAGGAAGGAAAAAATTTCTGGCTTTGTTGGGGGAGCTCTATTCTCTTCCTGTCCTAGGCCTCAGGTGACAGGAAAGAAAGAGCAAATGGGGCATTTTGTGTCATTCTCTTGAAATGTTTTGTTGCAGTTCAGGGTGATCTTACTACAGTGTCTAAACCAACAATAAGAGAAATTATACCACACACTTGAGATTAACTTAAGCACTGCCTTTTCCATTATTTGGTATCTCTGTATGCCTATGTACAATGCACAATGGTGCCCTCATACTTCATCCGATTCTGTAAAGTAATGGACAAACGAGAAAGCCACTCATGGAAAAGAACGTAATATAATATTTGTATGTATCCCCTACTTTTACTGGAAAGGAGGAACAAATTTCTTTTTAACTCATACTGTGAGCTACAGATTGGCTTTTCATAGCCTTTGGCTTCATAAGTAACACTTTCGTCACCTGGTCTGTCAGGGTCAATTTCTTTCAATAGGCTTCTGGGTTTGAAAACAAATTTAAAATAAACTGAGCGGTAAACCTTTTAATGTTATATTTTAATTATATATATATATAAAACATATATATAGCATATATATATGCTAATTATTGATTCTTTGGGAATTTTACAACATGTACCCCAGTCCCATTTACTTCCCAGTCACTCTATATCTACCCCTCACCCTTCTGCAACATCCTTCCCAAAAGAGACCTCTCTTCCCTAATTAATTTAAAAAAACCAACAAAACAAACAAGAAAACTACTTTCTCCTTGTGTTTCCTGCCTTTCAACACCCCTTTATTTGTCCTAGTGGCTTTGGGAGCTGTGGTTTCCACGCAGTACACCCACCCTTTTGACTAATCATCCCCGCCCACAGCCCACAACTGTTCATTGCACTGAGTCAGTGGTCTGATTCAAGGTCTCTGTCCTCAGGCACTCCATTGTCACTGGACCCTCACTGAAACTCCTCCTCACACAGCCTGCGGTTGACCTGAGTCGTGGAGATCCTGCGGCTAAGGCTGTCTTTCTGAAGGACAGTCCCTTTTCACACTCCAGCAGCTCATAGATGGGGTAGATGCCAGGGTCAGTCAACACAAGGTCCAGGATGTGGTCCTGGGTTGTAGCAGAGTTGGTCAATCTAGGCCGCGGGGACTGCCCACATCAGGTGAGGCAGAGTCAGCTTTCCTATGGCCATGCCATTGGGGTCAGCTCTTCCATGCCTGTGGTGACGGGGTGGGACTATATTTCCCAAGTGAGAGGTCCAGCTCTCCCAGGAGGGGGTGGAGCCAGCTCTCTTGCTGTAGCGCTCAGTGGGCGGTAGAATCTGCTTGGCTCAGCTATCCCAGGGCCAGCGAAGGGTGGGGCCGGCTCAGCACAATCCTCAGACTTAACAAGCATGGTTCCTGTGGCTCCCTGTGCTAACACACACTATGGACATCAACACGGAACCTAGCAGCAGGAGACATGGCTCTGTGCTGTAGCTCAGGCCAGACATCACCATGGCCCTGGTGGCACACAGATCTGTATGGCCCCAGAGGTAGCATGACCCTTGGACACCAAACATGGTCTCAGGTGGCTGACCAGACCCTGTACATCAGCATGGCCTTTAGTGGTTACTGAAATCATGAACATCAATTCAGACCCTGGCTGCTATAGGACCACAGACGCAGACAGGACCATTGGCAGCAGCCTGGGCCTGGATGTCATCACCATAGCTCCGGGTGGTGGCAGGCAGGCCACTCATATCAGCCTTTACTCACCGCCTTCACTTCTTCAGTTCTGCCACTTTCCACAGCACATGAACCATTCTGCTCTCTCTTTCTCTCTCCGAATTCTGCACCATATATTTGTTCATGACAGTGGCACCTACCTGTGGATGCTGTGGATACCTGTGGATGCTGTGGATGCCTGTGAATGGATGCTGTGGATGCCTGTGGATGCTGTGGGTGCCTGTGAGTGGATGCTGTGGATGCCTGTGGATGCCTGTGGATGCTGTGGATGCCTGTGGATACCTGTGGATACCTGTGGATGCTGTGGATGGATGCTGTGGATGCCTGTGGATACTGTGGATGCCTGTGGATGCTGTGGATGGATGCTGTGGATGCTGTGGATGCCTGTGGATGCCTGTGGATGTCTGTGGATGCTGTGGATGCTGTGGATGCCTGTGGATGCTTTCAGCCAGCCTGGACTAGACCCATGCTGACCTGCGGATGTCTTTCACCCACCTGAGCCAAGCCAGTCAGCCTGAACTGTGAGGACCCAGGTTGGCCCCTTTTAAGATTTTAAAAATTATTTATTTCCTAATCTTTTCAATTGTCTCATCTATACAGTGGCATGGTTTTGTGTGTGTGTGTGTGTGTGTGTGTGTGTGTGTATCAGCCTTAGCAAATCTTTCCAAGGTAGTGAGCTTTTTGTCCTGTGTGATCATTTTTTTTTCTTTAGACAAACCACTGTATCACCTGATTTTGCCTCCTCCTCCTATTCTCCCGTTCCTCTTTGTCCCTTCTAAAAGCAAAACAAAACAAAACAAAAACAAAATGAGGTCTCATGTAGCCAAGACTGTAGCCTGAGACACTCTATGTTGGGTTAACTTTGAAGTTTTGGTTTCTCTGGCTTCTGGGTGCTTGGATTATACACATGTACAACTCCACCCGCTTTCTGCCTTTTGGAGATTGAGCCCAGAACTTTGAGTGTTCTAGGCAAGCACTCTGCCACCCCAACCACATCTCTAGCCCCTCGAATCAACTTCTACTCTGCTTAATTTTATGATGTAATATAATAATTAGTACAACCAGGACAATGGCCTTGTAAATGATTATGGATCTTGGTCAACACACATTCCAACTTAATTTTTACCAGTCTTAGACAATGGCGCTTTTCATTAGCAGATGAGCTGTAAGTCGTTAGTCATTCTGTGAAGTGTTAAGTGAAGATTGTTATAAAAAAGCCATTTTGCTCTTATGCTGGCAATTTTATTGAATAGCTTAGCCTTCTAGAGAAAAGGTAACTCACAAGAATTGATGTTAAGTCAGAGGAGTCAGAAGAACAGTCTTCAGGAAAATGGTTCTTCATGTTGTCTGGAAAATGCTATGCATCCCCAAGGCTTCCCCAATCCTCAATAAACTCCTCACTGGTCCAACCCTAACCCCTTCCATGGTACTTTGTTCCATTCTTTGAAGTAAATCTGCATAAACCATAACCTAGTTGGGCATGTATCTTAATCAGCTGGAGGGGTTGTCCAGTTTCCTATATAAGAAAGTTCATGATGAAAACACAGAAGACCCTTAAGTGTTAGTGTCCCTGATATCTTAAATGACTGTGAGAGGAGGCTAGATTCTGACAGGGTAAACAGCAGGGTTGCCGGCAGGTAGATAAAAACTTACACTTGGTTTTCCTCAGAGACCTGTGCAAACAGTTTGTTTTTGCTCGGAAGGGTCTCTGCTTTCTTACCTCCTCTACCTCCAGCAAATGGGGTGTCTAGTTCCTTATGAGCACAAATCCGCAACACATCAAAGTCCCTGGGCTCTTCTGGTCCATAGAGCTATCCCCTACCTCCCTCTCCACACACCACACACACACACACACACACACACCGCACCACACACACACAGACACACACACACACAGACACACACAGACACACACACACAGACACACACAGACACACACAGACACACAAACACATACACAGACACACACACACATACACACATACATACACACACAGACACATACACACACACAGACACATACACAGACACATACACACACAGACACATACACACACAGACACATACACACACATACACACACAGACACATACACACACATACACACACACACACAGACACA